AGTGTCACTGGCCCTCATATGTGGGATCCAAACCGGGGCCCTCTGGTGTCCCAAGCCAGCTCTTAACCAACGCGCCACTCGGCCGGCCCATGAATTTGCAATGTTTTTATTTGATATTGACATAGATTTACTAGAGACTACAGAACACAACCTAATCCTTCTGTTAATGTACTTGTTCAGTCACACACTCAATCAGTAAATTTCTTTTGAACACCTGCTATGTACCGGGCACTATGCCGTACACTGTTTGTCAGACTTAGAATAATAAGCACTGTCCCTGCCCTTGAGCTTATGCAGTGAGTCAGTGGAATGGAATTTTTTTAATGAATTTAAAAATAAATAAGCATTTCATTATAAATTATGGTAAATGCTAGTATGAGAAAGTAATGGGATGAGGTGAGGGACTAAATTAGAGGCATAGACTTGAGATGGGAAAGGGCATTTTCAGACAGTCAAGATTTCAAAATGTCTACCTCCTATACACTGTATATAGTAGCTTTCTTAGGAAGCTGCTGGAGGATGCCGCTACCAAAACAAAATGAGAAGGCAAAAGGACATATATAATAGAGTATCTAATATGGGAAGGAAAAGAAAAAGATCCATTAAAATAATGATTAAGAGAAATTCAGGATGTCAGTTGTGCCCACAAAACAGAGAGCAACCTGTTGAATTTGGTCATAATTCTCTGGGAATAATGTCTAGATAAGTTAATAGGATATCTGACGTAGCAAAAGAAATGGAAAAGAGAACTGGAGAGAAATGGAATAAATTCTGGTTGTCTTTTGGAAGCAGGTTGGTAGACCTTGGTAATCCATTGGATGTCAGGTTGAGTGAGAAGAAGCGAGCATGACTCCCAGGTTTCTACCTGCATTAATGGATAGATGGAGTGTTGATTTACCAAGTTAAGGAAGTCTGGAGGCAGAACAGAAATCAGGGTAATATTCAAACAGATGTCAAATGGCCAGTTAAATAAATACATAGCCTGGAAACCAGAAGGGGGCTAGAGATACGATTGTGCAAGTGTCAACACAGAGGTCCTGTTTTGATACTATGGAAGAGAAGTAGATTGCCTAGAGTGAGAATAAGGACCAAAAAGGTAAGAAAGCATGCTAAGCTAAATAAGTCAGACAGAAAAGAACCATCTGACTTCACTCGTATGTGGGATATATAATAGAAAGCAACAAACACACAAAACAAAACAAACTCAAGAGACAGAGACGACAGAAGGGCGGTTACCAGAGGGGAAGAAGGGAGAGAGAGAATGACGCAGGCAAAGCGGGTCAAATATGTGGTGACTAGACTCGGGTGGTGAGCACACAATGCGACGTACAAAAGTTGTACTACAGAATTGTGCATTTGAAACTTTTATAATCTTATTAGCCAGTGTCACCCCAATAAATTTAATTTTTCAAAGACAGGTAAGGAAGCAAAAGATCAAGTCCCAAGGAACTGGAATTTATAGCGGTCTGATGGAGAAGGAGGGGTGAGCAAAGGAGACCACGGAGTGTAGGGTGGGGCCAAAACGCGTCGCAAGTGTGTATAGGAATGCGTGCGAGTTGAGAAAGTATCAAACAAGGCTGTCAGGAAACTCGTTTGTGAAAGTGAACAGAGACTGGATGGTATCTGAAGAAAAGTGGAGTAGAGGGAAGGTGTTTGTTTTTAATACTGCTTTTGTATGTGAGAAATATTAAAGTATAAATGCTGAGGGTGAGGAGGAGCCTGGAGATGCTGAAGAGGCAAGAAAGAAGGAGACCCCAGGTATATATGGCGAATTGGCCTTTCATAGCAGGCAAGCCAGGATCCCTGCGAAAGCACATCACTGTAATGACATAAAGGTTAGATGATACATCACTTTTAATTCAGCCATGTAAAGTGCAGTCTGTTTTGAGTAACTTTTCTTTTTTGACTGAAAGCCTTGAAACTATGAATTTATAACAGTAATTTTATTGTTGCTATGATTACCTATACGTAATGCTAGTGAATATTTTTTTATAGCCTTGACTATAATTGGGTTAGGACATTTTTTTTAAAGCCTTAAACATTTTTCCTTTTCAAGGGCATTAAAAAATGGATTTGAGGGCCGGCTGAGTGGCTCAGTTGGTTAAGAGCT